CTCTTGAAATGACTTGTGAGAGTCTTGATTCTCATGGTCATCTGGGTGGGATGGGAAGGTTGCTACAAGAGGCATTTGTATGATAGCCAAAAGTGATATTTGGCAATGGTACCAGATGATTGATTTTTACAGAATCAATGGGATGAAACTATATATACTACATGTCTTACTGAGCTGAGTTCCCTGCAAGTAGGAGGGAGTCACCTCTGGGTGAATAAAAATCCATTCTTGTTCGGCTCTGATAAATAGTGTCTTTGTTCTCTGATATTTTTTGTTAGCTTTCCATCAAGGAGGAAAGGTCTGTCTACTTTACAAATAGAAGCAAAACCATCATACAATTATTCTCATTTAGCAATTATTGAGCATTAATTGAAAGTTGGCATGCTGGAAAACTCACATCCTGGGGGAGAATTATTATTTTAGAGTGCCACAGATACTGTGTAATGTAAATAACATATTTGAAGCAGCAATTTATTAAAAGTTACAATGTTTTCCCTAGAGAATGGATTAGCTATTCACCATTAGGACCAGGTCCAATATTTATGAAATGTTCACAAATGATTATGTTTCATTTACAAATAGACTCTGATGGGAGACATTTTTATTGCAAGTGCTATTTTAATGAATTGTCTGTCTTTATGAATTCATGTCCAAGACTGAAATAATTCCTTTTTGCTCCCTTTCCTCGACCTTACACTTGAGCCTGCCACTGCTTATCATGTGTTTCCTATTTCTTCTATTCTGCTCATGTGATCATTCCCTCAATAGCCTGAACTAGAAAACCTTGGACATATGTGTGACTCTCACTCTCCTCACACCCCACTTCCAATCAGTCACCATGTTTAAGTGGTTCCTTGTTGCCTACAGAATAAAAGTCAGCTCTCCTTAACCTGATATATGGATATATTCACAGCCTGGGCACCATAATGTCCCAGTTTTCCATTCCCCACCAAGTAGGCTATACTAGCTGCTACTATGAGATGCCCTTCCCGCTCTTTTTCCCTTCAAAAGCCAGCTCAAGTGTTGTCTTCTTTCTTTAACTTTCCAGATGTTTTTTACTCCCTTGCCCCTAGGCAGAATCAGTAACTTCCTCATTTATTCTCTTATAGAAGTGTATGCATACTTCTCAGTTGTCTTTATTCATCTGTGCATCTAACTCATGCATAAGACTGTAAGCTTTTTGAAGTCTCACTCTTTTATTTTCTATGTATACCATGTTTACTTAGCACATAATAGGGCCTTATTGAAGGGTGCTTGGCTGAGTTGAAAATCCTATTAAAAGAAGAAACAAATCAAAGTTATGCCTCAGTGGATATTTCATGTGAACACCACTTCGTGATTGGTAATGGAGATAAAGTGGATGTATGTGAAGAAGAAAGTCTGGCAGCAGTTCACTTGGTGGTTCAAATAGAATAGTTATAGAGACATAGCAGTTTAGAGCAGGAAGGTAAATCAGAGACTACCTTCATACAAATAACTTCATACAAATAATCTGTTCATTACGTTATGCTCTCTCTTCACCCTGCTCTTGCCATTTTCTATGCTAGTTTCCTAAGAAAAGCACTATTACAGTCCCTAGACTAAATACATAATAAATATATCTTGTATAAATTAATGAATGAATGAACAAATGAAATGATTCCCCCTCTTGCATTTTACAGATAAGAAAACAGACTCAGAAGCCGGGTGTGGTGGCTCATGCCTGTAATCCCAGTGCTTCGGGAGGCCGAGGTGGGAGGATCACGAGGTCAGGAGATCGAGACCGTCCTGGCTAACATGGTCAAATGCTGTCTCTACTAAAAATACAAACGATTAGCCAGGTGTGGTGGTGGGCGCCTGTAGTCCCAGATACTCAGTAGGCTGAGGCAGGAGAATGGTGTGAACCCGGAAGGCGGAGCTTGCAGTGAGCCAAAATCACGACACTGCACTCCAGCCTGGGAGACTGATCGAGACTCCATCTCAAAAACGAGCAAACACCACCACCACCAAAAAAAAAAAAAAAAAACAATGAGACTCAGAGATGCAAAGAACAGGAAAGCAGAAACTATTCCTTTTCCAACCGCCACTATATTCTCTACATTGAACTAAGTGCTTTTACCCCATTTATGCAACTTTATCCCTATCAGGAAAATTATACAACTATTATGTTACAAAAAGAACTTACTTGAAGCTTAAAACCAGTGCCCTATGATCACACAAATAGGTGGTATCTCTGTTTTTCTTATGTAGTGTTTATTGTATAGTATTTCCTCTGCCACTTGCTGGCATGGTATTCATGGACAGTAATAGTATTGATGTTTGGTTTGAGACTCAGAAAATCTCTACTTTCCCTATCTGTGTTGTTCAGATGGTAGCAAGTGACTAAATACAGGGTGCTGTAATCTAGTGGTAAGAACACTACACATGAAGGCTGAAAACCAGAGCTCATTTCCTAGTCCTGTGATCTCGTCTTGAACAAACCTTTATCATTTTGGACACTCAGGTTTCTCATTTATACAGCATAGTATATACTACCAATTTTGTAGAGTTATCTGATGAACAGATGAATAATGACTATGAAAACATAGTTTATCCACATAAAATTAAGGTAATTTTTTTTAAGCTTACGTGAGAATGAGAAAATGTGTATAAAAGGGCTTCCTCAGCTATACATTCACGTTCTTGCATTTCCTTTGTTACTGTTTTGCAATTTCAGTGTACCACAGCCTTAATTTGTATAAACAGATAAAAGGAGGATAAATAAGCACTTTCTCACTAATGTGGCTTGTATACAGTATAGCATGTTTAAATGAAATTCTGCTTCTAATTCTTCTGAACACAATTGAACATAACAGTAATACAGAAATAATAGTTAAAATGACATTTATTCTTGTCATGAGCTTCCATTCTCATAAGAAAATCAAAACAATCCAAGAAAAGAGAAAATATGAAAATTAACATCATTGCACAGACAGTAGCAACTCTTTGATGAGAAAAAAAGCCATTGGCAGCTTGTTTTAACAGTAATTGAAAATATGACTTTTCAAATGTTCTGCATTAGCTGCCGCTCTAATGTATATATTTACAAATGAATCTGATAATGTAATTTGCATTTCTTAGTTTTATAAATCGTCTCCTTTACCTCAAACAAGGTACAGAATGTGTCATTTGCTTCTTGTTAACATCATCTCTGCTCTTTAATGTTAATATTACCCCATGATCCACTATCAATATTTGTTATATTCTATTGCTTTCCATCTTTAAGAAAATGTTTTATTAAAACTAAATCAAGCAAAATAAGAGAAATTATGATGTATTTTTCAGTATAGCTTTAAAAATCTCTGAATAGCATACAGTGGAGAGCCCTGTGGTACTGGGGATGACTAGGACCTTAGAAGTGATCTAGTTCTGACCCTCATCTTAGAGTTCAGAAAATGAGGCTATAAATGGCTGAAAAGAAGATATGCTAGTTTTCAAAGGACAAAAACAAGGAAAGTGCTCCAGGCTATATTTGAGCACTCTTCTCACTACACTAAATCAGAAAATAATCAATTTTAACACATACAACTTAATTCTCCTTTATCCAAATGATATCAGAGAAAAAGGAAGCCTTGCTCAACACTTCTATGTTAACTCTTCAGATGTGGATGCTGATGGACTGATGATATGTATCTGGGAGAAAACCAAATAAATTGGATGATAGGAGATCTCAATAGCCTGGAACAATTGGCTATATCTAACAAAAGAGAATTTAACTGCTATAGACACAAAGTCAGCACTTACACTACAAAAACTAATGGCAAAAGTACATGAAGTGGGACATATGGTTTAACAGCAGAACATAATTTCTTTTCAGAAGTGGCTGTTTTTAAAGAACTGAAAGTTATATAAGTTTACTCCTGTACTCTTCCCCAAGTCAACTCAAGTCTACTTAACATAATAGAAGTATGTACAGAACAACAAAGGTGCTAAGTCTAGTCTACACTCTCCACCTGGATTCTCAGTATAGATATAGACACTGACAAATTGGGGCATGCAGAGGGGAAAGACCAGAGTGTTAATTGACTCAGACCCAAGCACTTCAGGAAAGGTTAAAGGAATTGGATCTGTCTCTCTGCAGAAGAGGAGGACTATATTTGTTGTCTAGGAAAAATGGGCATGAGAGAAACATGTACTTTGTAATAAACAAGGCTGACTGAGTGGAAAGAATTTAAGGTACAGAGGGCATGAGTCTGAGTATTGGTGACATTGTTAACCAGCTGTGTGAACTTGAGAAAAATCACTAAGAAACTGCATCTCAGGTTCCTGAGCTGCATTATGAGAACAGGAATATCTATGCTGCAAGAGCCTTGTGAAAATTACATTAAAAAACATATGTAAAATAGCTATAGAATATGGTATGCAGTTAATAGTCAACCAAGGGCCAGGCGTGGTGGCTCACGCCTGTAATGCCAGCACTTTGGGAGGCCGAGGCAGGCAGATCACCTGAGGTCAGAAGTTCGAAATCAACCTGGCCAACATGGTGAAACCCTGTCTCTACTAAAAAAATAATAATAATGATAGCTGGCTGTGATGGTGGGCGCCTGCAATCCCAGCTTCCCGGGAAGCTAAGGCAGAAGAATCCCTTGAACCTTTGAGGCAGAAGTTGCAATGAGCTGAGATTGTGCCACTGCACTCCAGCCTGGGCAACAGAGAGAGACTCCATCTCAAAGAAGAAGAAGAAAAAAAAAAGTCAACCAACATTGACCTTTCCACCCACTTGTCAGGGAGAGTTATTAGTGATTTTTATTAGATAAGTATCTTGTAGAAGGGTTGTATAGGCAGATATGAGAAGGTTAGGCATCTGAGATCCTTCCCAATGCAGCAAGATATATTTATATGTTGACCAACAACATTTGTTGAACTTTATTCCCATAAGGATTATTATTTAAAATAGTGGATGCCTTACAAGTTATATTGCCTTATAAAGCTGCAAGAAAATGTCACGAATACATAGAGTAAAACAGTGCTTATCTACTTACCTGTAAAGTGCAGAAAGGGGCCTCTTGTTTCCAGGTTTTGGTCTGTATGGTTTGGGCTCTCCTGCCATGTTGATATCTGAAAGCATAAAATAAAACAGCACTGATTAAGAAAATATGAAACCATTTGAGAAAAGTAAATCATGAATTTTTATTTTTCTTTTTACTATTTGTTTATGCAAATATTGTACACCATTGATTCCTTCAACATATATTTATTGAGCATTTACTCTGTGTCAGGTACTGTTTGGGATATGTCATGCACAAAACAGATTATACCTCTGCCCTTGTGGAACTTACATTTTACTGGGGGAAGATAGAAACAAACATAATAAATAAAAACTATATACCATATTAGAAAACAATGAGTACTATAAACAATCAAAATGTTGAGCAAAGCGAGGAGAAGCAATAATGCTTTTCTTTTTTCCCTAAAAGACAGGGTCTTGCTCTGTCACCCAGCCTGGAGTGCAGTGGTGCAATCATTGCCCACTGTAACCTTGAACTCCTGGTCTCAAACCATCCTCCTTTCTCTGCCTCTGAAATAGCTAGGACTACAGGCATGTGCCACTATGCCTGGCTAATTTTTAAAATATTCTGTAGAGATGAGGCCTGGCTAGGAAGCCCAGGCCGTCTCAAACTTCTGGCCTCAGGCAATTCTCCTGCCTTAGTCTCCCAAAGAGTTGGGATTACAGGCGTGAGCCAGTGTGATTGGCCAGAAATGCTTCATGAAACAAAAAGAGAATGAAATATTCTTCTGATTTTCATTTTTCGCTAAGAATTTTTCAGTATGCATAAACAGTTGTATGAAATAGAGTTCTGTCCATAGAAGGGCTTATTAAATTTCCCATGATATATTTTCCATTTATATAGAAAAGGAAGCTAGAAGGATTTGATCATCAATCATACCAGGTTTACTAAAGGAACAACAAAATGCACTCAGCAACTGGAATATGTAGTTATTGAATTCCAAGGTGGTCAAAAGGAGAAGAGAGCACATACTTTGCCTTCATAAACTGAAAATATTATTGTCTCTGAGATAGACAAAAAGAGGTTTAAGTATGTGACAAAACAGTCTATGCATACAATTGACCAACCTCAATCTTAAGGAAATATGTAAAACTATTAAGAAATTGGAAAGTTGGGAGGAGAAGGTTTGGAAAGTAATATAAATAACTAGATTGGATAAAGTTAAAATTTCCAAATGATGATAGAAAGGGAAATCTAAAGGAGATGTGCTTCAAGAAATGAGGGATATTATTTTGACAAAAAAGAAAGGGAAAACTTCTATTTCTTGCACAGTGGACTAAATGCAATGAGCTATCCACCACTGAAAACAACCAAAAATTCTGGATAAAATGTAAATGTATCCTTTTAAAGAATGCAACATAAAACTAGCAAGAAAGTAAGGGATTTGAAGAACATCTCACACCTGAGTGGAAACAGGAAATCAAACGGAAAAAGAACACTGCACCTGGCTTGTTCCTTAAAGATATTTGCTGCAGCCAGAATGCAAGTTTTAGTTTTCACCTCCTTGTGGTTCAGCAGGGACAGGTCACTATGCCCAGGTTAAAGAATATGAGAAATATAATCCTCTGATTCAACATAAGTGACACATATGTGACAAAATCCTTAGCAACTAGGAAGAGAAGAATATTTCCTTTCTTAACAAAGAAGATCTACAAAAATCTATATTAAACATTATACCTAATAGTGAGACACTGGGCACATTTGCTTTACGATCAGGTAATTTAAAAGGACACCCGGTATATTAAACTGTATATAATATTATACTAGATGTCCTAGTCAGTGCAGTAAGACAGGAAAGCAATTTTAGAAATGAGAGAGAAGAAATAAAACTGTCATTAATTGCTGATGATACGTGGGTTCATATAAAAAAATTGTAAGGTATCCTCAGATTATTACAATTAATAAGAGAGTTTAATAAGTTTATTGAATGCAAAGCCAGTATACAAAATTCAATTGTATATCTCTATACAACAATCATATGTTTAAAATATAGTCTAAAGTATATTATTTATATACTATAAAAGACAAAGTACTAAGGGGTAAATCTATCACAACACTTGAAAGACCTTAATGGAAATATAAAACTGTATTGAAAAATTTTACAGTAACCTTACATAAACAGAAAAATTAGTAGACTCAATACAATAAATATGTCAGTTCTCTTTAAGATAATTATGGATTCTGTGTAATTCCAATAAAATCCCCAGTATTTTTTATGTATATGCCTGAAGCTTGAGAAGCTGATTCTGAATTTACAGAATAGAACAAAGGGCAAACATAGCCATGATACACTTGGAAAAAAGGTATGAAGTTGATAAAGTTGCCCTATCAATATTTATTTTAAATCTGTGGTACTTAAGGCTGTAGCATTGGTACAAAGATAGGAAAGGGGCCAATGAACATGAAATACACACACGTATATATGACAAAACTGTACATGCATACAATTGACATATATAAACACATGGAGCCGACACAGCAGATCAGTGAGGGAAAAACTGATTCTTAATAATGCTGGAATGATCCACATGAACAAATATGAAATTGAATATCTACTTACACCATACCAAAAAAAAATCAATTACTGTTGCCTAAATATGAAAGGAAAAAATATAAAATGTTTAGGAAGCAATAAAATAGAATATATTTTTGAGCTAAGAGTATGGGAGGATAATCTTAAACCAGACATAAAAAATCACTAACCTTAATATATAAAATTGATAAATTCTGCTTCATTAAAATTAAGAATTTTTGGTCATCAAAAGCCACATAAAGATAGTGAAAAGGACCATAAACTTGACAAAGGATTTGTTTCTAGAATATGTAAGAAACTCATGCATATCATAGGAAAGAGAGTCAAAACACCGAATAGAAAATTAATCAAAAACCTAGTAAAGGCACTTTACACAAGAGAAAACATAAATGGTGAATAAACACATGAAAAAAATGCTTAACCTCATAGTTGTGGGAAATGCAAATTAAAACACCATGAGATACAAATAAAACCCATTGAATTTACAGTTTACAAAGCCTGGTAATATCAAATGTTGGCATTTCTGAGCAACTAGAATGTGTGTAGAATGCAGATATAAATGTATATTGGTAAAAACTATTTTGAAAAATAATTCAGCAGTTTCTAATAAACTTAAAATGTTCAAACTCTGTGATACAGGAAGTACACACTTAAAAAATCTTTTACACATGTGTACCATATGATATACACAAGTGTGTTCATTGTAGTACATTGGAATTGAAAAGATTCCTGGAAAAAAACACAAATATCCATTGTATTTTTAATAGGATAAACAAATGGTAGCATATTTACCAAAAGGAATACTATACAACAGTAGAGAAATGACAGAGAGAGAGAGAAAAAATGAATTAGAGCCATTGGAAATATTGATACATTGATAACCTCAGAAACCTAACACTGAACAAAAATAATGCCCTGGAAAAATACAGTATGAATTCTTTCATGTAAATTAAATTGCAAAATTGAATGATATATTGTATAAAAATAAAAATACATGGGATAAAACTAGAAAAGAAAAGCTTCTACACAGCAAACAAAACAGCCAGAAGAGTGAACAGACAACCCACAGAGTGGGAGAAAATCTTCACAATTTATACATCTGACAAAGGACTAAAATCCAGAATCTACAAAAGACTCAAATAAATTAGCAAGAAAAAACCAAATAATCACATAAAAAAGTGGGCTAAGCATATGAATAAACAATTCTCAAAAGAAGATATACAAATGGCCAACAAACATTTGAAAAAATGCTCAACATCACTAATAATCAGAGAAATGCAAATCAAAACCACAGTGCGATACTACCTTACCCCCACAAGAATGGCCATAATAAAAAAATTAAAAAATAATAGATGTTAGCATGACTGTGGTAAAAAGGGAACACTTCTACACTGCTGGGGGAATGTAAACTAGTATAACTACTACAGAAGATTCCTTAAGGAACTAAAAATTGAACTACCATTTGATCCAGCAACCCCACTACTGGGTATCTACCCAGAGGAAAAGAAGTCATTATTTGAAAAAGATGCATATTTATAGCAGCATGATTAATATTTATAGCAGCATGATTCACAATTGCAGTCATTATTTGAAAAAGATGCATATTTATAACAGCACATGCATATTTATAGCAGCACGATTCACAATTGCAAAAATATGGAACGAGCCCAAAGGCCCATCAGTCAACAAGTGGATAAAGAAATTGTGATGTGTGTGTGTATACACACACACACACACACACACACACATATATACACTATATACTCAGAATATAGTATATATATGGAATACTACTCAGGCATAAAAAGGGACAAATTACTGCCATTTGCAGCAATCTGGATGGAACTGGAGGCTGTAATTCTAAGTAAAGCAACTCAGGAATAGAAAACCAAACATCGTATGCTCTCACTCACAAGTGGGAGCTAAGCTACGGGGATGCGAAGGCATAAGAATGATACAATGGACTTTGGGGACTTGGAGGAAAAGGTGGGAGGGGGTGAAGGGTACAAGACTACAAACTGGGTTTAGTGTATACTGCTCGGGTCATGGGTGCATCAAATTCTCACAAATTACCACTAAAGAACTTACATAACCAGATACCACCTGTTCCCCAAAACCTATGGAAATAAAAAATTTTCTAAAAAAAGAAGGCAGAGATAAACAAGGAATTCAGGATGAAGGTTACCTCTAAAGGGGTAGAAAAAGTGTGGGACTTGGAAATGACACTCAGAAGACATTCAAGTTAATAGCAAGGTACTATTTCTATTTCTAAATTGGGTGGTAAGAGCATGGCTTTAAATTATAGCATTATTTCTCATAACTTATTTTATTCTGTATGTAATTTATAACTAATAAAGAATTTAATAAGAATGAAAATTGTAAATTATGTGTTGATAAGTATTCACATCAGAGAAAATAGGTTTTTTTTTTTCCCTCTGAGATGGAGTCTCACTCTGTTGCCCATGGTTCACTGCAACTTCCGCCTCCTGGGTTCAAGTGATTCTCCTGCCTCAGCC